AGGTTCTCTTCCTCCAAAATTCTTTCTTCAAGCGTCTCCTCCAGTAACGCATCACCATCTGCTCACATCCACACGGATGATCATTGCAAAGACAAGACGGACGTACAAGGACAAGACAACACAAGGAATACACAGGGTAAGCTTATGTAATTTAATTCATGCATACACATACAATTCAAATAATCCAACACCAAATAATGTCAACGTACGTATTATACAAAGTCTATTTACGAGACTGACTGTCCGGACTGTATGAAATCTGCGTAGTTACAGGCGTTCGCGCACCCGGGTGATGTAGTAACTGTAATTCCCTTCAGCTGCCACCCGAGGTTAGTCCGTTCCGTCCAAAGTACCCTTAAGGACGAGGACCTCCTGCCGTTCCCACACATGACGTACCCCCTCTACGTGAGGACGAGTACTCACAGAACATCAGGATCGAACCGCCAGCACTAACTTCCCACAGTCATACTTTACAAATCCCAATATTCAATACATGAGTCGTTCCTCCCTGGAACGCTCGTTCAAAATCCACAATCGTTTATTCATTTCATATACTGTTCACCCTTTATAGTCTTTTACTTTATTGTCATTTTCATCATCAGTTTCAAGGACTTAAAATACCGAATGTTCAGCCCTCTTCATAACGAGGACAAACGTTAGGAACGAGACATAAAGATCTCCAATTCCAGAATAGAATGAGACCGAGAGGTTTACTGCCGTTTTTGAGAGAAAAATCGAACGTAATAGATATAGTAGGGAACGCATGAACCGAACGTTCATTGCAATGAGAATTCATTTGTGAACTAACTCTAACCGAACGCTGAAAAGACCTCGCCAAAGGCTGCGACTCTATGACCGAACGTTCCAATAATAATATTTAGAAGCATTCATATGAAGAAACCGAACGTTTATGAATGTTTAGCTTATTTGAATTTACCTCAAGAAATCCGAATGCCAGTCAATGACCGAACACAATAAAAGGATTTACGGAATTTGGACGAACGCTATTTCCACACGTTTAATAATTAAGGACGAGTACGAGCGTTCGGTATAAGACCGAGCGTCACTCATAACACGCTTTGGGTCGAGACCCATCACTGATTTGAACTCATAATAGAAACAGAAATAGAGATAATACGAGATGGTGCAGATAGGGTTTCAGAATGACTAAGTATCCAGATATGTACAAGTTTCTCAATTACTCATATAACACTCAGGGCATCCACGCTTGGCCGAACGCTCAAACGTAGCACTATTACAAGAGGGCGTTCGTCCTCACTATAATTCTTTCCGAATGAAAGAATTCAATTTCAAAGAAGTTTACTAACACACCGAACGGTCATACCCCTCTGTGTTTGGCCGAACGCTCATACACACTATTCTGAAGTGCAGACGTTCGTTCTCACTAGAATCCTTCCCGAATGAAAGAATTCACTACAAATTCAACTTCACTAGAAAACCGAACGGTCAAGGACCGTTCAGTAACGTACGTACATTCTCTTAGAGGGAATTTCTTATCAGAATCAATATTATTAAGATTTTAATTCCTAACATATAGTCTCACACATTTATACATTCATACCATATTAAACTAATCATATCTTATATCATCAAGTCACAGAAATCTCATACGTTTCATGCACCATATCATATCACCATCATTTTTCATATCCAAATCAAACAAAGAACGTTCATGCAACACATAATCATAAATTAAATTAATAAGCTTCCCTTACCTGATCTGTGAGCGAACGTCCTAAGAGTAAGATTCTGATTCGCCCGATTACAGCTTTCTAACCTCAACGATCACTTAAGTCTTCCAACTAAATCTAACCACATGAAAATCAAATACTTAGACTATACCCCTGCCCGCAACCAGAACTTGGTTTTGCATGAAACCTAAGAACGAACGACTAAGGGAAGAAACTTACCAGCTCAAACTTGAACTTGTTCGGTTTAAGAGGAAGCTTGGGACGCCGGGAATACTCCTACGGTGCCTGAACGGTGATCGGAGCAGAGAAAGGTGAGTTTTCAGTAGAGAGAAGGGAAAGGTTTTCTAGAGAGAAGAAGGAGAAAATGAAAGATCAGATTTTTGGAAGAAGAAGGGTGCACGCAGAGAGAGTGGGAAAAAGGTTTCAGAAAAATCATTTTTCTTCCCAAGTAAAACGAGCGTACACTCTCCTGTGGACACCTGTTCTCCACTACTGATTTTCGAATCTCCTTCGCTTGACACCTGGCGTCCGTCATCTGAGTGTCAATTTCCCCTCTTAACACGTGAACTCCACTAAATCAATATGTGTGTGTGGATCTCTTTTCTGGTTTTGGATGCATTTTTAATGAGATTAGACAGGTGGGTTTGGATGCATATTTACAAGGTCTGACATATATAAACTTATTTAGGTTGATCTGGGATTTTCAACCATCACAATGTAAAATCTGGATCTTATGTATATGGGTTGAAATTATATGTTTTTCTCTCTAAACAACTATTTCTATTTTACATTAAATTAAAAATACTTTTTCCAGCCAATTAATTGAATTTCAACAACCGAATCGTGAATGTGCTTAAAAACTCCCCAGATGCATATTGGAAAAATACATCTCTTGCACTGATCTATAAGAAAATTCTAAATATTTGCTTACATTTTTTAATATAGTAATTACTATTAAGTAAATTTTCTCTTAATTGTCCTATATACTAAAATTACATCCTTTGAGTCTCCGTGCAAAATTTCACAAATGCTGCGTTTATCAAAACTAACTAAAAATTTGGCTAAAACCTGCCAAACAAAACTACAAATTTAGCTTAAAGTTGAAAAACTAATTCCACAATCAAAATTGATGACAAAAGTGATTATATTAACTTATTAAATTTGACGTTTTTGGTAGAATTATATGATAAAATAACTTATTTACATAAAATAGCATAGACATGCCAGTATTACGCTTTTTATCGCATCGTAAAAAATATACTCGAGTATTTATTATTCTTGTAACATCCCAAAATACAGTAATCACCATATAATAGAATTAATTACATTAAACAGTTAAACAATGCAGTCTTACACTAAGATTAGAGTTAATAAACCAAACGGCTTTAATTACAGACTTCCATACAATAATTCAGAAATAATATAATCTTGGACGAACGGTTTACAAAACTTCTATACCGAACGTCAAAACTAAAACATCTATTCTCTAAAATGAACGGGCGCTCTAGGGCTCAGCTTTAACTTCAACGTCCACCAAGTTCTCTTCTTCGATAACGTCCTCCAAAGTAGCCTCGCCTGCTGCTCACATCCACACGGATGATCATTGCAACGACAGGACGAACGTACAAGGACAACAGACAACACAAGGAAAACGAAGGGTAAGCTTATGTAATTTAATTCATACATCAACATATAAAATAAACATTTCAATCCACACAAGCATATAGTTCAACATATAACATCATACGAAATCTATTACTAGACAGACCATCCAGACTGTATGAATCTGTGTAGCTACAGGCGTTCTTGCACCCGAGTGATGTAGTAACTGGGATACACTCAACAGCTGCCACTCGAGGTTAGCCCTATCCAAAGTACCCCTAAGGACTAGGACCTCCTGCCGTTCCCACACATGACCTACCCCCTCTACGTGAGGACGAGTACTCACGGAACATCAGGATGAACTGCCAGCATTAGCATAACCACAGTCATACTTTACCAAATCCAATATTCAATATATATGAGTCGTTCCTCCCTAGAACGCTCGTCCAAAATCCATAATCGTATAATCATTCCATATCATGTTCACCCTTTAAAATCTTGTACTTTATTCTCATTTTCATCTTTAGTTTCAAATACCTAAAATAACGAACGTTCAGCCCTCTGAAGGACGAGGACGAACGTTAAAGACGAGACCAAGAAAGACTCGTTTCCGAACAGAATAAAGCCGACACATAATTATTTGACGAACGTCATTGCCACTCGAATCAGTTGAATGAACTGACTTTAGAACGATCCAATCAATATTCAGAATAATTTAAGTATAAAGGCTCTAGGACGAATCCAAATGGATAGAGATACAACAAGACGAGTAATTAACTATTCTGAGGACAATTCATTTAAAGAGACCGATTGCCAGTCAATGATCGAACGCGGTAATACGCATTTACTAGAATATTTGGACGAACGCTATTTACACCCGTTTGGTAATTAAAGGTAAGGACGAACGCTACTTAGGACGAACGCTAGGTGTAAGACCGAGCGCTTCCTATTACGAACGCTAGGTGTAAGACCGAGCGCTACTTATTTCGAACGCTCAGTATAAGACCGAGCGTTACAAATTTTTAAAGCAGAAGGGTATAATTATATTATTTTATTGCAGATACTCGGATACCACTAGGCTGAACCGAACGCTCAAACCTAGTATTTCGCAAGAGGACGCTCGTTCTCAACCAGAATTCTTTCCGAATGAAAGAATTCCATTTTAAACCGTTTACTAGAAAACCGAACGGTAGAGGACCGTTCGATGACGAGCGTACCTTATCATAGTAAGAATATCATATTTCAGATTTTTCATCTACTTTTCAACTCACATTTTAACATATCAATTCATATCTTATAACTTCATATCCAATATCAATTTACATACTTTACAGAATTCCACATTAATAACTCATACTTCATAGTGATAACTCATATTTTCATTTATACATCTCAAACATCATCATACATGTCAATCAGCATGCATCATATTCATTTAATCAACTCAGACGAACGTTCATACAAAACATAGCATATGAATTAAATCAAATAAGCTTCCCTTACCTGGATCAGTGGTGAACGTCCTAAGAGTATGATTTTGACTCGTCCAACTATGGCTTTCTACCCTCAACGATTTTCTTAAGTTATCCAACTAAGTCTAACCAAAAGAAAACGCAGAAGAATTTATTTTATACCCTTGCATGCAGCCAAATCTTGGTTTTGCATGTAACCCAGAAACGAGCGTCTATGGTCGAGAGACTTCCCGGTTTCAGAACTTGGATCTGTTCGGTCCAAATTGAAGCTCACGACTCAGAGAATGCTCCTACGATTTCTGAATGTGAATCGGAGAAGAGAGTGGTGAGTTACAGTAGAGAGAAGGGGGAGAAAATGAAAGGTTAGATTTCAGGAGGAAGAAGGGTGCATGCAGAGAGTGGGAAGAAGGTTTCAGAAAAATAGTTTTCTTCCCAAGTCAAACGAACGCACTCTCTCATACGGACACCTGTCTTCCACTACTGAATTCAGAATGTTCTATTTTGACACTTGGCAGTTGCGCGTCAGAGTTTGTGAGTGCGTTTTTAAGTGGTCTGAGCAGGGTTTCAGTGTATTAATTTTGATTTGACAGGTGGTTTACGGTGTTAAATTTCCAAGGTCTTACAATTCTTCTTTTCAATTACTTTAATTTTTTTTTAATTTTTCACGAATTAAGTCATATACAACAATGTAAACTAGGGATTTTTCCATTCTGATATCCCAAATTTTTCTTCAAAATAACCTCAGTAATAATTATTTTCTCTCTATTGATACATTATATATTAATTTTTGCTTCTACAACTATCCCAAATCACTTTTATGTTTGCTATTCCTGCATCAAAGTAATAAGAAACATCAACTAAAACATTCCTTTTAATATATTTTTAATTATAATATTTAATATAGATAAAAAAATTAAATGTTAATTTATACCTTGGACATTCTTTTTGTTAATTTTAATAAACAAATAAATTACATTAATTTTTCCTTGTATTTTTCACTTCTAGAAAATCTTACGGGAAAAAAAAAGGTGTTTGTACTTAGTCAGTCTGTAAGGAACCGCACGTCCCTTATATATATTTTTTTAGAAAAGGAGATGGGAAGGGGGCGGCTGCACGTTCAGAAAGAGGAGAGGGCTCCACGTCCAGCAATGAATGGCAGCAGCAGCTCGTGGGTGGTTGGTTCTTCCCAACTTTGAAGTGCCCAGCCACCAAGAAACACCAAATCTTTCCATCAATTAGTGTGCTTGGCACTAAGAATGGAAGGAGTGGGCTGAGAAGGTGCAGAGTTTTCCTCTTAAAGGGAAGAGCCGTGGTTCAAAGTTGGATTGGAAGAGTTGCTGTAATTTCTGGGAGAGAATTGGAGAGCTTTTGGAGTTGGAAGTGTGACACACCGGCTGACGAGGGCGGGAGGTGACGCCGGTGCCAGGCGCCTGGTGCAGGGGCACGACAGGAGCGGCTCCTGGGGCAGCTTCCCCCCCCATGGAAGGGGCAAATGGATGAATCGAACATACACCGATGAGAGGGATATGGAGACTGTGTAGGTATGGGAACTATACGTTAAGATATCTTAAAGGAATTAAATTTGACTACTCATATCACATCACACAATGCATTTGCTTTTTCGTAGCCTGACCCATAAAACTCCATTGTAAGCGGCTTAGCCTGGAGTAATCTGGGATGGGTGACCTTCTGGGAAGTTTTCTTGGAAAGTGTGCGAGTGAGGACAAAGCACACTGGAAAGCCTCGTGGTGATCTGTGGGGGTAGTCGATGGTCCCTATGAGTTGCCGGTTGCCGGGACGTTACATAGTTAAGAAAATTAATACAGAAATAACCAAGGTTCGCTACTTACAACGAACGCTTGGTATAAGACTGAGCGTTACAAATTTTAAAGTATAAAGGTATTCGTATACAGCTAAGCTGAACCGAATGCTCAAACATAGCATTTCACAGGAGGACGCTCGTTCTCAATCAGAGTTCTTTCCGAATGAAAGAATTCCATTTTTAACCATTTCTAGAAAACCGAACGGTATAAGACCGTTCGATGACGAGCGTACATTATCAAGGTAAAATATCATTTTCAGATTTTTCATCTATCTTAACTCAACGTTTCTCATACGATTCATATCTTTACAATTTCATATTCATCATTAAATCACATACTTTATAGGATTCATATTAACAACTCATGCTCTACATTAATCATCCATTTCCAAATTCATACGTATCACCATCAACATGCAGTTCAACCAACATAAACCATATTCATTCAGTACAACAGTGCTCGTTCATGCATAATTAAACAGCATACATCTCATACATCCAGTCCACTTCATGCTTTCACACAACATACAAGTATCAATTAAATTACTAAGCTTCCCTTACCTGGTTCAGTAGTGAACGTCCTAAGAAGTGACTTTGTCTCTTTTAATTCTGGCTTTCTAACCATCCTACCCTCAACGATTTCCTTAAGTTCTTCACTAAATCTAACCAAAAGAAGTAGAAGAATTTAGCTTATACCCTGCATGCAGTTTTATCGTGTTCGTATGCAATCAAAACGAGCGTTCGAGAGTTGAGAGACTTACCACCCGTTCCAAGAACCTGGATCCATTCGTTTCAAGATTGAAGCGCCCAACTCGGGAATCTCCTGGGTTTTTGAAAACTGATCGGAGAAGAGGGTGGTGAGTTACAGTAGAGAGAAGATGAAAGGATTCTAGAGAGAAGGAGGAGAAAAATGGAGTCTGAGTTTGGAGGGAAGAAGATGAGTGCAAGAGAGTGGAAGGGTTTTCAGAAAATTCTTTTTGTTCTTCCCACGTCCGCACGAACGTGTGTCTCTCCCGTCGACACCTGTACCCCCCATTACTGACTCCAATTCTATCCCGGTGACACGGGCGTGAGTGGCAGAGTTATGAAAGTGCGTTTTTAATGCACTGCAGAGGGGTTTTCCATGCATTAATTTGATTTGACAGTGGTTTACGGTTTAAATTTCTAAGGCCTCACAGTAGAAATATTTATGTATTTGAGGTTTGTGTTATTAAGTGATTGATGAACGATTTGTGCTTAGAGTGATCTTGTTTAGGTATGAATCCGTATGAGTGGTGGTAGAATATTATTGTTGAAGCAAATCCTGGGAAGAAAGGGATGAAAATGGGGTCTCTGGGTTTCTGGAAAATCTGGTATGATTCTGCAGGATTCTGCAGAATTCTGCAGAAACGCACGTTCGTCCGCACAGTGCTCGACCAATTAGTGGTCGGCCAAAATATCCTGAACGTTCGTCAATCTCGAATGTTCGGTCCTAAAATTGGTAGTTTCAAGCGTTCGGTTTATGTTCAGGAAGCGTTAGCGTTCGTCCTTCGTGTGAGTATACCGTTCGGTCGAGACTTTGATTTAATAGTGTTCGGTTAAGTATTGATCTGTTATCGTTCGATCTTGAATGTTTAGTATCGTTTTGGGTTAAGAATTGGACTTTTTTTAAGTACCGTTCGGTCAGGCTTTGATTTATTACTGTTCGGTTAGAGTGGTTCGGTGAGGATGGTAGACTTCGTCCTTAACCTGGTTATTCTCATAAAGTCATATTTAGCGTCGGTTTAAATGAGGTATTCTCTTCCTCGGCTTGCCGAGCGTTCTTCTCATTAAGATTCTTTAGGTTTTTGGATCACAGACGTCCGGTCTTGGTTATTGTGGTTATAAGACGATCGTCAAATCTTAGTGTTTCGATTAATATTCAAAACGTTCGTTCTAAGATGTTTGATTTAATAGTGTTTGATCTTGGAGTGATCGGTTTTTGGTTGACTGTTGTTCGTAAGCGTTCGGTCCTTAAGTTATGATCCTTAGGCTTCCATTTCGAGCGTTCGTTTTGGTCTAATAGTTTATCGTAAACCGTTCGTTCCCTAATTTGGGTAGTCTCGGCTGTGACCTGAGCGTTCGGTCTTAAATTGATAGATTTTAATTTTGAGCGTCCGGTCATGGTGAAATAGTGATCGTAGGTGTTAGTCCCTAAATTAGTATTCTCAAGAAGTGATCTTAAGCATTCGGCCTTGGTTTAATGGTGATTGTGAGTGTTCGGCCTTAATTTGGATTCTTAGATTTGGATCTTAAACGTTCGGTCTAAATTTAGATTATTTTGTGACAACTTAGATTAGATATTTTTGTTCAAATGAAAATCAAAGAATCAATCCGGACTCCTAAATATCCATCATCATAATGTCTATTCTAGCAAGACACCCAACCATGATGGCCAATCAACTGGCCAAACAAGAAAGTGAACACATTACATACCATTTGTTTCACTGTTTGTTGCAAGAAACCCAAGTCCTCAGGCTAAAAACTTATGATTGAATTTATCTGAATGAGATAATAATACCTGTTTTTGAAGTTGTAAATGGTCAAAAGGTGTATAGTGAGCAATGTAAAGATCCGGTAACATGGTCTAAAGTGGAAATATAGAGTTTACTTAAAAAAAAATGTTGAATGTTTTGGCCCTCAATAGAACTATCATGCTACCCAGAATAGTATAGACGGAGGGAAAGTAAATGGAGCATTCTAAATATTACAGAACATGATCTTCCACACTAACCAAAATTCAAGATTTATAAGTACTAAGTATAAATGAATAAGAAATAAATCCAGATGACATGCATGTGAGCAGCTTCATTATTGGTCACTAATAGGGATGAGACGACACCCAATGCAGGGTTTTTGCTGTAACTACCACAGTAGTCACTACAAACATTGATATCCTCAAATTTAGTTCCAAAGTCAGTAACTTATAAAGAATAGTTTGAATCCATTTTGATTGGAAAGAATTAATAATAAGGCACCATCCCCCCAGCTCAATGGTAAATAGAAAAGGAATGTACGCAAGAGCATTTTAAATTTTGTCAAGGAAATCTTCTTTGATGCCAAACCAAGCATAAATTTTTATGTGACGAAAGGAACCACCTCATCCTTTTGTTGACCGAGCCCAAATAATTGCTGAGCCATTTTGTCATCTAAATTCTCTGAATCTCTGTATCAAATGTGCTTCTTGCATCCTGCCATCATCACAATTGACAGGATATTGTAAGAGTAAAAATCTTATTATATAATTTACATATGATTTTTCATATTTAGTGTGAGACCCTAGATAATTAACACTGCAACTTAAGTCAAATCAAATTTAAAAGCATTAAAACCTACCTGCAGTGCAGTCCACGTCACTGCTCAGATAATTTAAAACCCACTTACATACTCTCTGCATGCACTGAAAAACGCACGCACACACACTGACACACGCCTGCCAAGTGTCATTTTAGAACCTTCGTAAATCTGTAGTGGGGAACAGGTGGCAGTATGAGGGTGCATGACCGTTTGACGTGGGGGAGAAAATGGTTTCTCTGAAAACCAACTTCCTCTCACTCTCTGCAGTCACCCTTCCTCACGAAAACTCACCCTTCTCTTCTCCAAACTACTTTCCCCCTCTTCCCTAGAACTCCCAACTTCTCTCTACTGTAAAATCTCACGCCTCTCCTCGATTCACATTTTTTCACGAACCGTAGGAACGTTCCCGGAGCCGGACGTTATTTGACCGACAGAATTAGAATCTAAGCTGGTAAGTCCTCTTCTCTAGTAGTTTCGTCCATTAGGGTTTCATGCGAAACAAAGTTCCTGGGTTCATGCATGGATTATTTTGAGTCATCTCTGATTTGGTGTAGATCAAAGTGAAAGGTTTAGTAAAACTGGGGAAGAACGCCGTAAGAAGACAAACCCAACCTTTGCTTAGGACACGTTTGCGTACGAATCCTGGGTAAGGGAGCTTATATTTTAATTATACTGATGATTATATGAAAGCATGATAAGGATTGACTGTATAATAACTGTATGAAATATATATGTATATGTACTGATTTGGTATGAATGAACGAACCCTGTTGTACTGGATGAATATGATTTCTGATTTGGTTGCACTGCATGTTGATTTTGATACGTATGAAAGATAGATGAGTAGTGTATAGTTGGATTTGATGATGTGAATAAATTCTATAAAGTATGTAAATTAATGTGGATATGAATTTATAAAGTATGAACCGTATGAATAATGTTAAAGTTAAGATAGTGGAAAAATCGGGATATGATAATTTCCTATGATAAATTACGCTCGTCATCGTACGGTCTTATACCTTTCGGTTTCCCTGAAAATGACTTAGAGTAGAATTCTTTCATTTGGGAAGAATTCGATTTGAGAACGAGCGTTCTTATTTGAATTACTATGTTTGAGCGTTCGGCTCAGCATAGAGATGTCGTACCCTTAAATTAAATAATACTGATATAAGTAACGTTCGGTCTTATACCGAGCGTTCGTCCTAAATAGCGCTCGGTCTTATACCAAGCGTTCGTCCTAAATAGCGCTCGGTCTTATACTAAGCGTTCGTCCTAAATAGCGCTCGGTCTTATACCAAGCGTTCGTCCTAAATAGCGCTCGGTCTTATACCAAGCGTTCGTCATGATTGGTGCTCGGTCATCTACCTAGCGTTCGTTTTAATGTAGTGTTCGGTCTTAAACCGAACGCTCGTCCTTATATTCGATTCCTTAACGAACGTAAAGAGCGTTCGTCCAAATACTGAGTAAATGTATATTGGCGCGTTCGGTCATTGACTGGCAGTCGATTCCTTTTAAACAAAAAGTTTCCAATGAAGTTAAGTATTCTCCTCGATGTACCTTAGTCCAAGTTGAGTTAACCTGACCTCTTGGTACTTAAAATATTCTGAAGATGGTCGTGTCACTCTGGAGTCTTTCTGATTGTTAATGGGTCCTTCTAAATCTTGCTTTTAACGTTCGTCCTCTTCATTCAGAAAGTTGAACGTTCGTCTTTTTATGAAAGTGGAACATAGAATGAAAATGTTATTAAGATGAAGTATTAAGATGTGTGAATGCTATATTAAATGATTATACGATTATGGAATTTGAACGAGCGTTCTAGGGAGGAACGTCTCAGATGTGTTAAATATTAAACTTGGTAAAGTATGACTGTGGATAAGTTAAGACTCGCTGTCCATCCTGATGTTCCGTGATACTCATCTTCACTTAGAAGAGGGTAGTCATGCGTGGGAACGGCAGGAGGTCCTTAGTCCATAAGTTAACATGGGCGACGTAAGAACGGACTAACCTCGAGTGGCAGCTGTGAGAGTGTATCAGTTACTACATCACTTGGGTGCAAGGACGCTTGTAACTACACAAATTCATACAGTCCGGACGGTCGTCTTATATATATATATATATATATATATATATATATATATATATATATGTATATATATATGTAGATGTTACATGATGTTATATGTTGAATTGTTTGATTGTGTGGAATGAAATGTTTATTGTATGTGTTGATGTATAACTTAAATTATATAAGCTTACCCTTTCGTTTTCCTTGTGTTGTCCATTGTATCTGTACGTTCGTCCTGTCTTGCAATGATCATCCGTGTGGATGTGAGCAGAAGGCGAGGCCACCCTAGAGGATGTGATCGAGGAAGAAAACTTGGTTGAAGTTGAAGTGAAAGCTGAGCAGTAGGACGCCCGTTTTTCCTTTTAGTTTAGTCGTTCGCTTTTTGGAATGGACGTTCGGTTATTTATTTTGTAAAACCGTTCGTCCTAATCTCTTGTATATGTGCACTTAAGCCGTTCGTTCTAGACTTCCTCTGTATACGCTTTATGTGCGTTACTTTTGTATTGAAGTCGTTCGGCTCTGGAACTTCAATTATGTATATAAAGACTGCATTGATTTACTGTTAATTGTAATTAATTCTGACTTATGGTAATTACTGTATTTTGGGATGTTACAATCTCTCTGGTGATTAACTGAAAATTGCAGTCTATTTCCGTTAGAATGACTTGACAGGCTAACCACTAAAAAAGTACCAAAAAAAATTACATTTTTTATTTCATGAAAACAGTCTAAATTGATAACTTAACAAAAAATTAATAATGTTTCTATTAATATTATTGATTTTTGTAAAATAAAGTATCAAGAAACACATTGATCTTTATTTTTTAGATACATTAAAAAGATAAAAGAAACATAGTATGAACCCTAAGTTTAAACACATTTTTACATGCATCAGAAAGTGAGTTTACCTTGTTGGCAAAAAATCACTTTTTTGATTACCAAAAGAAAAAGGAATTCCATAAACCAGTTATCGTACAGAAGAAAAAGAAAATATTAATTCTAAGTAGTAGTCAATCATTGATTGCCATTCAAAGTCAAACGAAAACCATACGCATCATTGAATTGAATTTGATTTTTTCTTTTCTATTACAGTACCTCGTCTCGTTCTAGATGTTTTGTTCATGGAGCACAGACCTAACTTTTAAACAATAAAATACATAAATGAATAAGAAAAAAAATATTTATAGAAAATTGTGTATAGTGACTTCAAGTCTAAGGATTGTATATACCCTAGTCATTTCCAGAAAGTCTGGTGACAATTTGAACTATTTATTTATGTAATTAGGGTTCTATACATCACTAACTTCTCAATTATATGTTCATGTGAAAGTTTGATATATATTTCATATTTGACCCATCATCAACCAACCTACTCACACACTAGTCTTAATATAGTATTATTCTAATGAACAATAATATTTAACTATAGATAGTCTTAGAAAAATATTAAATAATTGATTTAAATTCTAGGTTGATTTTTATATTTGTTTGAAAATTTCAATTTGATTATTAGATTTTAAGTATTTTCAATTGAGTTTTTTTTAAAAAAAGAAATATACATAATAAATAGACTCTTTTTATTAATTTGATTTAAATTGTGTTGAGTTATAATATTAAATGAATTATGTGTTATTTGGTTTTCTTGACGTGTTTAATCCATCTCTTTCACATGTCGTCTCCTTATCCTTCGTAAGTGCATGTTTATGTACGCATTTATGTTTTAAATATTAAAATTTTGATAAGATTCCTGTGCGATTCATTTAAAACAATTAAAATGAATATGTGACGATTGAATTTATTTGAAAAGAAAGAAAAGGCTAAAGTGTAATCGGAGAAAATTTCTAGACTTTTGTGTAATTTTGGACAAGTGTAAATCTATTATATATTTTAAAAGATAATTTGAAAAAAATATATCTTAAAATATCTTATTTAAAATTGTTAAATACTTATTTAACTATATCAGTAAATATGAACAAAAAGATAATATTTATCCAATCTTTTTGAATCTAGAAAATATATTATCAAATATAAATCTTGAATATTTGAAAAATATTAGATATAAGATAAAAAATCTTATCAACAAAAAATTCAGAGTTCAAACCGGATCAAACCTATACAAAAGAGACTCAAGAGAAAAAAAATCTTAACTCATTCATTCACTCAAACTCGTCTAATGGAATTAGTCTAATTCATTCCAATTGTTTCTAATTAAGTTTCCTATTTGTTCTTCAATCATTAATTCACAATCCCGATTCATTGGGAGATAAAGGGAAATATGTCTGAAGGAGAAAGGTTGAAAGATCAAAGAGAGAAGGAAGAATTAGAGCAGCATATGAGAGATCGAGATGCAGCTGGGACACGGAAGTTGACTGAACATAAATTATTACGAAAGGAGGAAGAAGAGGCAATTCGAAGATCTAGTGCTACACAGCCGGAGGATATTCAAGTTTTGAGAAAGGTTTCAAGGCAAGAATACTTGAAGAAAAGGGAGGAAAAGAAATTAGAAGAACTAAGAGATGAAATAGAAGATGAGCAATATATGTTTGAAGGCGTGAAGCTTTCGGAAGCAGAATATCGTGAACTGAGATACAAGAAAGAGATCCATGAACTTGTGAAGAAGCGCACAAAGGAGGCTGACAATGTGAACGAGTATAGAATGCCAGATGCTTATGATGAGGAAGGTGGTGTTAATCAGGAGAAGAGGTTTTCTGTGGGTATGAAGCGTTACATCAAATTGGAAAGGCAAGGCTGAAGTATGGTTCAAAGAATAAAAATCAAGTCTCCGATGATTATCAGTACGTGTTTGAGGACCAGATTGATTTTATAAAGGCATCGGTAATGGAGGGAGATAAGTTTAAAAAGTCTTGGTATTCATGATTTGTTGAACTTTGATTTTATGGATCCTCCCCCTGCTGAGGCCTTATTAAAAGCTTTGGAGCTTCTATTTGCATTAAGTGCATTAAATAAGCTGGGTGAGTTAACCAAGGTCGGTAGACGGATGGCAGAGTTTCCACTTGATCCTATGTTGTCAAAAATGATAGTGGCTTCAGAAAAATTCAAGTGTTCAGATGATGTCATTTCAATTGCTGCTATGCTTTCTGTTGGAAACTCAATATTTTACCGTTCAAAGGATAAACAAGTACATGCAGGCAATGCAAGGATGAATTTTCACACGGGAAATGTTGGAGGCCATATTGCATTGTTAAAGGTCTACAATTCCTGGAAAGAGACCAATTATTCAACGCAATGGTGTTATGAAAATTATATACAGGTAAGGAGTATGAAACGGGCAAGGGATATCCGTGATCAACTGAGAGGGTTGAAATTGAACTAATATCAAATGAAAGTGATTTAGATGCCATCAAGAAATCTATTACTTCCGGGTTTTTCCCACACTCTGCTCGACTCCAAAAGAATGGATCTTATCGAACTATCAAACATCCACATTCTGTTCACATACATCCTAGTGCAGGGCTGGCAGATGTTCTTCCTAGATGGGTTATATACCATGAACTAGTACTCACAACCAAGGAATACATGAGACAGGTGACGGAATTAAAGCCGGAGTGGTTGGTGGAGATTGCGCCCCACTATTACCAATTTAAGGATGTTGAAGACTCGTATTCGAAAAAAGTACCCCAAGGAACAGGCAGTGTACAAAAGGACAAATAAATGACACTTTTTGGAAGAAGAAAAACGTGTCTCTTGAACATGGGATATGTTTAGGCGTGTCTCTTAAGTGCTTAAATGATATACGGTTATGCCAATTTATACAAGGTTGGACTTTTATCATACTAGGTGAGCTTCTTAGCTAGTGTATCTTAACAAAATAGGAAATAAATTTAATTGTTTCTTCGTATGGTGCCGTGGAAGTGAAAATATGGTTAATATTTTAAATATTTTGATTTTTATTTTTATTTTTATTTTTATTTTTATCTGTATTTGTTTTTTTAGGTTTAAACCCTTTTTTTATCCTCATTTTTGTACGAAGATCTCATTTTGGTCCTCATTTTTTCATTTGTTTTAATTTGGTCATATTTTTTTGAAAAAATAAACACATTTTACCCTAACTGTTAACTACTGTTAAATTAAGGCCACGTGGTGTAGAGAGAATGTGCAGATGTGTGTTCCTCATTTACGTGGAGTGTTTTGATTAAATAAACAGTGGTGATGTGACATTATTTACTTCCCTTTATTCACTTTAGGGATATCAGAATTATGGATTTGAAATTGGAATTGAGGATTTCATTTCCTTGTTGCGAGACGAAGCGGAAGACGATCACCAACTGCAATCTTGGACAAGACGAAGAGAATTCAACTGATAGTTGACGCGAACTAAGGTAAGGTATTTCGTTTCGTGTTTGGTTTTCTGTTTTAACGTATAAATGTCTTTTTGCTTTTACGAACATGTGCGTCTTCGATAATTGGGTTTTTTGTTTTGCTCTATAACTATTTATAATGATTTGTGGTCCCCATTTTGCATGTTCCATTGTTACATTGTAGTTTAGACATTGTGGTCCCGAATTTTCTTTGTTGAATTGTTTATCAACTGTAGTGGTCACCNTGTGTTCCTCATTTACGTGGAGTGTTTTGATTAAATAAACAGTGGTGATGTGACATTATTTACTTCCCTTTATTCACTTTAGGGATATCAGAATTATGGATTTGAAATTGGAATTGAGGATTTCATTTCCTTGTTGCGAGACGAAGCGGAAGACGATCACCAACTGCAATCTTGGACAAGACGAAGAGAATTCAACTGATAGTTGACGCGAACTAAGGTAAGGTATTTCGTTTCGTGTTTGGTTTTCTGTTTTAACGTATAAATGTCTTTTTGCTTTTACGAACATGTGCGTCTTCGATAATTGGGTTTTTTGTTTTGCTCTATAACTATTTATAATGATTTGTGGTCCCCATTTTGCATGTTCCATTGTTACATTGTAGTTTAGACATTGTGGTCCCGAATTTTCTTTGTTGAATTGTTTATCAACTGTAGTGGTCACTTGTCTATGAATGTTTCATTAGTGGGGATGTTACTTTGTTCCTTGTCCCTTGTCTGTGTCGGTGTGAGTGTTTAGTTAGTGAGTGACTGTTTCCGTAGTGGTAGGACTGTAATATTCCAAAGATTTTTTAACCCCCATAATGTACAGGTTATAAAAGCAACTTGTTGATATGGATGAGGAACTTATTAAAGTTGTAGTCCACCATTGTGGAGATTTTGTCAGTGATGATAATGGGCAGTTAAAATTTGATGGAGAGAGAGTTGAATGGTCTTGTGATCTAGACCTGTGGAGCTATTTTGGCATAGTAGCCTCAGTCAAAGAATTAGGTCATATGAACATCAAAGAATTATGGTATAATTTAGGAGGTCAGTCTGTGGACCCAAATAGGTTAGAATTGTTAACTAATGATAGGGGTGTCATGCATATGTTGAACATTGCTAGGTTAAATGATGAAGTTCATCTGTATGTGGTTCATAATATGATGGAATCAGAAATAATAGAAATGATTGATTGGGTTGGTGAGGGTGATGCCCATAAAGGTGAGGGTGAGGTTCATATTGAACTTGCAACAAAAATGGTGGAGGGTGAGGGGGATGCCCACGAGGGTGATGGTGAGGTCCATACTGAAGTTGGAACAAAAATGGTGGAGGGTGAGGGTGATGCCCATGAGGGTGATGGTGAGGTCCATACTGAAGTTGGAACAAAAATGGTGGAGGGTGAGGGTGATGCCCATGAGGGTGATGGTGAGGTCCATACTGAAGTTGGAACATAAATGGTGGAGGGTGAGGGTGATGCCCATGAGGGTGATGGTGAGGTCCATACTGAAGTTGGAACAGAAATGGTGGAGGGTGAGGGTGATGCCCATGAGGGTGATAGTGAGGTCCATACTAAACTTGGAACAAATATGGTGGAGGGTGAGGGTGATGCCCATGAGGGTGATAGTGAGGTCCATACTGAACTTGGAACAAAAATGGTGGAGGGTGAGGGTGATGCCCATGAGGGTGATAGTGAGGTCCATACTGAACTTGGAACAAATATGGTGGAGGGTGAGAGTGATGTTGAGTGTCATACTCAAGTTGGAACAGAAATGTGGAGGGTGCCCATGAGGGTGATGGTGAGGATGCGGAGGTCCATCACGTTGAGGATGGTGAGGTCCATCATGTAGAAGAAGTTGAGGTACATGATTTTGAGCTAGAGGATTTAGGAGAGGATGATGATGTAGAGGACAGTGAGGATGAGGATGTACATGAGGCAGAGACTGAGGACGAAGATGTAGATTATGAAGAAGTTGATGTTAGTGAAGAAAGTCTAATTGATGTCAGCGTCCAGTGTGACATTGGGACTTCTAAAGGAAATGTGAGACAAGAACCTTCCAGTGTAGTACTTGAGTCTTCACGGTCAGATAATGTTTGTATTGATGATGTTCGTGGTTTGTCCGACAATGAGTGGGTATTAGAGGAGTTGATTAGTGGATCAGATAGTGAGGACAATGATGGGTCCACTAAGATAAGGTTTCCCACTTTTAGTATGCCTAAAACTTTGGAGGCTTATAAATGGGAAGTAGGAACCTATTTCGCTGAGAAAAATGAATTCACAGATGCCATTAGGACTTATGCACTAAGTAATGGGAGAAGTTTAAAATTTAGAAAAGGATTTCTGTGAAGTGAACGCTCGTCCATAGCGAGCGTTCGACATCCAGTCCTCATCTCCCCAAGAACTCAAAAAAAAAAAATCGTCCATACAGCAAATAAATTCTGATATCCCAACTCTCACTTCAACTTACCCAGCGACGCTCGTACCATAGCGAGCGTCATCACCCATTCTCATCTTCAAACAACGCTCGAAAATCCATAACGAGCGTTCGTCATCCATTTCCCACATCTTCACAACGAACGCTCTCCATAACGAGCGTTTCGTCATCCATTTCCAACTTCCCACGAACGCTCGGCATCGCAGCGGTTCGACACAAAGAAAAACCCATCTCATTTTCAAAACGAACTGCTTCGCCATAACGAGCGTTCGTCATCCATTTCCCCATCTAAAACGAACGCTCGTCATAACGAGCGTTCAGTCAATCCATTTTCCACATCATTCCCAGCGAGAACGCTTCGTCCTAGCGAGCGTTCGAGCACCCAGTCCTCTCTTCAAAACGAAAGCTCGTCCTAACAGCGTTCGTCATCCATTGTT